CTCCTGCATCCCTGGTTCTTGGGCTCATTGTTCCCATATTGAGCACCACTAGCCCATGCCATCTGTTTCCATGTGGCACTGCCTTTGCTTCAAGCCCCAACCAGCTCTTAAATTTCAACAGACTCCTGATGGGTCTGTTCACTTTTTTTTTTTTTTTGGTGGTGCTGGGGATTGAACTCAAGATCTTGTGCATGCAAGGCCAGCACTCTACCAACTGAGCTCTATCCCCAGACCCTGCTTTTGTTTTTTTCTATCAGTGCTAGGGATTAAACTCAGGGCTAGCATACCCTACTACTGAGCTATATCCAAGCCCTTTTTAAATGTTATTTTGAAACAGGGTCTTGCTAAGTTACCGAGTCTGGCCTCTAACCTGAGATCTTCCTGTATCAGTCTCCTGAGTAGCTGGGATTACAGCCCTGTGCCACCTGCAAGGGACTGTTCATCTTTAATCAATTCTCAACACAGTAATTAGAAATATCTTTCTAAAGCCCCATCTGACCATGTTATTTCTCTGGGTAACAAGCTTTGCTACTTCTTCTCAACCTTCAGAATAAAGTTTAAACTGTTTAATAGAAACACAAAACTATTTCATGCTGCCATTGAATTAATTTTCTAGTTTAAATCCTGTTCTCCTAAACCTGGAGAAACAACTTGCCCATCCTCAAACATCTTCATCATTTGTAATCTCTGTTTCCCTATATCTCCTTGGGAAAAAATAATAATTAATCATGAAATCCCAATTGGCGCTCATTTCTACTGTGTGGTCTTCAAAGACACCTTTTTCCATTTGTTTTAGTGGTTCTCAACCTGACCACTTATTGTAATCTTCTGGGGGGCTTTGAAGAAATACCCATGCTTAGCCTCTACCCACAGAAATTCAGATTTCATTGTCCAGAATGAGTCCAAACATAGGAACATTTAAAATGTTCCCCTAAAGTGATCTAATGTGCAGGGTTCTAAAGACATAAAAATTGAAAAGATAGCATTGAATTTCCCACTTCAAGAGAGTTATTATAGAGAAAACACATAAATGAATTGTCACTTACAATAGAATGGGGTATATAGAGTAAAAAAAAATGCATGCAAAACATATTGAGGAATTGGAAAGAAAGAAAGGTCTGACAAGAAAGGATCCTGGTGATGCCTCCTAAAAAATCAACCAAATATTTGGTAAATATTTATTTGCTATGGAATCCTGTCAAATTATGAACAGTGATTCAAAGGTACTGATCTGTAAGTTAATCACCAGAAACAATAGAGCAAAGGAGCTTCTGTGTAGTTAGTGGCCACTGAAGGTATTTTGTATAAGATACCCAAAGCACAAACAACAAAGCAAAAATAAATAAGTGTAACTAAATCAAACTGAAAAACTGCTGCTCAGCAAAGGAAACACTTAGCAAAATGAAAAAAAAATGTGTGAAATTGGAGAAAATAGTTATAAACTATTTATCTGGTAAGGGGTTGATATCCAAAATATCCAAAGAACTCAAATAAATCAATAGCAAACAAAACAAATCAATAGCAAACAAAACAAAACAAATAATCCACTTTTAAAAATGGGCAAATGGTAACAAAAACAGCATGGTATTGGCACCAAAATAGACATGTAGACCAATGGTATAGAATAGAAGACACAGAGATAAAAACCACATAAATATAGTTACATTAAAGGTGCCAAAAACATTCACTGGAAAAAAGGTAGCCTATTCACACATGGTGCTGGAAAAATTGGAAATCCATATGTAACAAAATTAAATTAAAACTCTATTTCTCACCCTGTACAAAACTAAATTCAAAGTGAATCAAAGACTTAAGCACTAAGCCAGGTGCAGTGCACATGGCTGTAATCCCATCAACTTGGGAGGCTGAGGAAGGAGGATCATGAATTCAAAGCCAGCCTCAGCAATTTAGTGAGGCCCTAAGCAACTCAGTGAGACCATGTCTCTAATAAATCATATAATAGTACTGGGAATGTTGTTCAGTGGTTAAGTACCTCTGGTTCAATTCCCAGTATCAAAAAAAAAAAAGACTTTAGCACTAAAACAAAGACCTTGTGACTAATAGAAGAAAACGTAGGCCTACATCTTCACCATGTCAGCTTAGGATCTGACTTCCTTAACAAGACCCCTAAAGCACAAGAAGTAAAATCTAGAATCAATAAATGAGATTTATTCAAACTAAAAAGCGGCTCTTCTCAGCAAAGGAAATAATAAAAAAAAAATTAAGAGAGCCTACAGAATGGGAAAAAATCTTTACTACATGCACCCCAGATACAGCATTAATTTCCAGGATTATAAAAAACTTAACATCAAAAAAACAAATAACCCAACCAATGAATGGGCTAAGGAACTGAACAGACATTTCACAGAAGAAATACAATCAATTAGCAAATATATGAAAAATGTTTAACATCTCTAGTTATTAGAGAAATGCAAATCAAAACTACTTTAAGATTTCTTTTTTTTAATTTTTATTATTGGTTGTTCAAAACATTACATAGTTCTTGACATATCATATTTCATACATTTGATTCAAGTGGGTTCTGGGGCTGGGGATATAGCTCAGTTGGTAGAGTGCTTGTTTCACAGACATAAGGCCCTGGGTTCAATCCCCAGCACCAGAAAAAAAAAAAAAGATTTCATCTCACTTCATACAGAATGGCAAATATCAAGAATCCAAGCAATAATAAATGTTGGGGAGGATGTGGGGGAAAGGGCACATTCATACATTACTGATGGGACTGAAAATTGATGCAACCACAATGGGAAGCGGTGTGGAGATTCCTCAGAAAACTTGGAATGGAACTACCATTTGACCCAGCTATTCCATGCCTTGGTTTATACCCAAAGGACTTAAAATCAGCATATTACAGTGATGCAGCCATGTCAATGTTTATAGCAGCTCAATTCACAATAGCTAAACTATGGAAAAAACCTAGGTGCTCTTCAACAGATGAATGGATAAATAAACTGGAGTATATATACACAGTGGAATAGTAATCAGTCTTAAAGAAGAGTGAAATTATGGCATTTGCCAGTAAATTGATGGAGTTGGAGAATATTATGCTAAATTAAATAGGCCAATCCCAAAAAACCAAAGACTGAATGTTTTCTCTGAGATGCTGATATTAATTCACAATAAGTGATGGGGTTAGTGAAGAATAGAGTTTAGATTAGGTAGAGGGGAGTAAAGGGAGAGAGAGGATATGGGGGTAGGAAGGAGAGTAGAATGAAACAGACATTATTACCCTGTGTGCATATATAACCACATGACCAGTGTGATTCTACATCTTATACAACCAGAAGAATGAGAAGTTATATTCCATTTATGTATGATGTGTCAAAATGAATTCTACTATCATGCATAACTAATTAGGACAAATTTAAAAAAATAAAGAAACAACAACAACAAAAAAAAAAAAAAAAAAAAAAAACCTCAACAAATACCCACCCCCATGGGCAAATTGGACTGCTGGACTGCATAGACATTTTCTGAAGAAGACAGGGCCTATAGATTGGCAATGGAGATGTAGCTCAGTGATAGATAGTTAGCATGCTCAAGGCTCTGAGTTTAATTCCCAGCCACACACACACAGAAACACACAGACACACACACACACACACACACAGATAGTGAAGAACAAAGGGCGAACAGGTACATGAGAGGGTACTCATGTCACTAATCAGCAGACAATATCAACCAGGATCACAGTGAGATATTATCTCATACCATTAGAATGAGTATTATCAAAATGATAAGAGTGTTATTTAGGGGTGCAGAGAACAGGAAATCCTTACACACTGTTGATGGGAATGTGAAGTAGTCCCATCATAACGAAGAACAGTATGGAAGAACATTAAAAATAGAACATTAAAAATAGAACTAACATATGTCCCAGTAACCCCTCCTCTGGGCATGTATCCAAAAAGAAATGAAATCAGCACTACAGAGATATCCACAACGCACACCCGTGATTATTACAGCGGTATTTGTAACAGCCAAGGTGTGGTCCAGTGATGGATAAATGGATAAAGAAATTATGTTTTATTTGTGTGTGTGTATGTGTATACACACACACATATTATTCAGCCTTTTAAAAAGGAGCTTCTTGCTGGGAGCAGTGGCACATGCCAGCCTCAGCAGCTTAGTGAGGCCCTCAGGAACCTGTCTCAAAGTAAAAATGTGAGAAGAGCTGGAGATATGTGGCTCAGTGGTTAAGCTCCCCTATGTTCACTCTCCAGTTCCAAAACAAAAAAAGGAAACTTCTCCATTTGTTTCAACATGGATGAACTCCTAGGACATGCTAAACGAAATAAGTCAAATCAAGAAATCAAGACAGATAAATAGTGCATGATCTCACTTATAAGTGGAATCTAAAATGGTGAATTCATAAAAATAGAGAGTAGAAAGGTGGTTACTAGAGGCAGAGGGGGTGGGCAGACACCTGTTAGAGGGAAAAAAAACTTTCAGTTTTAAGATGAGTAACCCAAGGGGATCTAATACATAGCATGGTGACTCTAGTTAACAATTCTGAAATGTATACTTAAGGTTTGTGTATGTATCAAAAGCTAACTAAATAAGGTGATATATGTGTTAATTAACTTAGTTGTGGCAATTCTTTCCCTGAATGTATGTATATTGAATCATTTTGTACACTATAAAATATAGAATCTTATTTGTCAATTTTACCTCCAAGCTAGAAAAATTTTATAAAGAAAATTTTATAATTAATATCAATGCTCATTACAAATTAAAACCAAGTATCATAATGACAATGTCAATAATTTTGACAAATTAAGCATGTATATTTGTTCTACTTCTTAGATGAGACAATTTTAAATCAAGTTGAGAAAAAAAGTACTGACAAAGCAGTTCGTTTTCAGTAATCTGGGTTTTCCCAAATAGTGACATGCGAGCCAGTCATTTCAAAATGGACAGCTTGAGTTCCTCTTCAAGAATCAGAAATGTAGGTCAGGGCTCTGCTGACTTTTCCATTTGCCTCATAGCTGAACGTTTGAAGTGATCATTGACAGGCAGGCGCTGGGGCAAGAAGACTCGCACAGCCAAGGAGAGCAGCAGGCCAGCTCTGAAGTGGAAGTATGTGCTTCATGCAGGTTGAGAGGTGAAGACACACGAATCCTCCAAAAGCTTAAAGGTAGTTCTATTTCCTTCTGGAAACACACAGAAGATACTTTCTTTTATAAATTCCCATGTTAAGCTGATTCTGTAATGTTTTTTAATATCACATCACTTTTTAATTATTAATATTCAAATAATCTATTAGGTGAGTAGTTAACTTCTAACCAGAAATCTTTAGGTCTTCTGTTGCCTATTATTTATCAAGAAAAGCTCTATTGCTAACATATTATGAAAGAGATATCTATATTCCTAAGCAGTAAGAATGCTTGTTCTTAAATATGTTATCAGATATTTTACGTTTTTTCATGAGCCATGAATTGTGCTTTGAAGTTACTATTTCACGTGTTAAGACTCAAGTTTCTCAAAACAGATAAAAACATAATCACTGAATAATGTTGCATTTTAAGTAACTAAATTATCCACTTATTTCAACTGGATAATATAACTCGGGCTGTGAACTAATGGCAGTCTGGTTTTTCCATAACTTGTTTCTTTTGAGTTCCGCAGATGGAAAGCTCTGTTAGTTTAACTGGTGGCAGGCATGTCTGCCTTTGGCTCATTTCATTTTTCTTTATTTTGTATCCTTTTTCTTTGGGAGTTCTGAGATTTTTTAAAATTTTTCCCAAGTTGTGCTCATCAAAGACTGACATTTCTAGAGCATGGTAGGTGCCTAACTCCAGTCAGGAGAAGAATTCATCATCAGAAATTAGAGCAGAAAGAACTGTCTGATGAGTGACTAGATTAGGAGGAACTGTCTTTTAATAAGAGTCAAAGGTCCTTCTAAGATAATTCGTAGTGATTTTCGAAGGGCATCAAATTCCACCCTTTGGCTTTACTCCTCTACCTATTACAGTGCTCCTCACATACCGTATATAACATGTATTTGCCCTGTTTCTTCCTTCCCTTCCTCCCACTCTTTCCTACCTCCCTCCATTCCTCCTTTTATTTCCTATCAAAGATTCCTATGAAGGACAATAGTTGTTAGGAAAATGTAAAGCTTTCTTATTTCATTTAAATATTACAACTTAAACATTTTTCATGTCTATTTTTTTTTTCCAGAGAGAGGAAAACGTCTTTTTCCTGCTTTCGGGCATGAATCAGGTCACAGTTCAATTGGACATAGTAATAGCTCTCCACCTGCTCTTCAGCTGGTGCCATGGAGGTACAGTATTTGGCACATCTTTTGTTCAACAAATAAGTTATCGAGTGATTGTTATTTTCAGTCATTCTGCCAGACACTTTGAAGAATATGAAAATTATCAAATTAGGAAAATTATATATACATAAAATGAATATGGAACAAAATAAAAGTGGTCTAACCTTCCTCCAAGTGCAGGATTTCATTCCTAAATGTCCCTAATGAACAGCCTGTGATGTTAAATAGGAGGTTATTATGTGAGTGGGCATATTCTATTTTTCAATTCTAATATATTATTTTATTATAACTGTTATATGACCAATCAAGTGTTCGAATTTAATTCAACTCTATGAACCATTTATTGATGGTCACTTTGTGTCCAGCTCTTGTGGTAGTCTTTCATTCCTCACAAAACCCATGCAGTCCCTCTGTGTGCTATTATTATTCCTGTCTCCTAATCCACACAAACTTCTGGTCTTCTTCAGGAGACCATAGTCCTATGAGACAGGCATGAGTGATCTTGAGGAATCCAAGAAGGGGATCTTCAGAAGTTCAGCAGGGCAACAATTGGCACTTGGAAGTTTCTCTTAGGAATAATAATGTCTTGGGCAAGTGGCAAGGATTTAGTTACTGCGTGACAACACAAAGGCAGAGTTCTTGGCCTTGAATGAAGTTTTGCTGACCCGATTATTCAAAGTATGACCTCAACTATAGGTTAGGACACAATTATGTTGGAGCTATAGATGTAACCCCATCAACAGAACTAGATCCCCCCACTCACCCAGCAGGATGACATGAGACACTTCCAGAGTCAGATGGACAGCTATCTTAGAAGATTTGGAGAAGATACAACACCTGCTCTTTCTCAGCTTCTTGAAATAGGCAAACAAGAAGTAGGACTTCTTTTTATACACTCAAGTGATAAGTAAAGAACATAGAGAACAATTTTCTGATTTCCACTTAAATGTTATTAATTTCTCTAATAACCTTATTTAAAAGAAAAATTGACATTTTTGTATAGCTTATCCAATCAATGTTGACTTCTGTGGATCACTGGATTCTTTTTTTTTTCCTTCCATATTCTGTCCTTTTTTGGGGAGAGGGTACTGGGGATTGAATTCAGGGGTACCTGACCACTGAGCCACATCCCCAGCCCTATTTTGTATTTTATTTAGAGACCGAGTTTCACTGAATGGCTTATCTCCTCGCTTTTGCTGAGGCTGGCTTTGAACTTGTGATCCTCCTGCCTCAGCCTCCCGAGCCGCTGGGATTACAGGTGTGTGTGCACGCCACTGAGCCTAGCAACCATTGGTCATTTTAAAATATGGAACTTGTACGCCACTATGCCTGGCTTTTTTCCCCATATTCTGAAAAACCATTGATTTACTAATTCACTCCTGAATGTTGTGAAACCCAGTGGTCCTGTGTTTCTGGGGTTTTTCTTTCTACAATTTTATGAAAATGAGGGCATCTGGCTAAATCTGAAATTTTTAAGAGTTCTGACATTTTTAATGTATTCTCAACATGGTTTCATGGTACTATGAACACATTTCTTTAAGGTGCTGTTGTCTAAACTTGAATTTTTAAATTTACTTAAGGTAGTCAGATATTTCCTTAAAACTTCTTCTGCATGTCTTTGGTTTCAATTCCCTATTGAGAAAGAATTTTTTTGGTGGGAGGTGGGATACCGGGGATTGAACTCAGGGGCACTCAACTACTGAGCCATATCCCCAGCCCTATTTTGTATTGTATTAAAGTCAGGGTCTCACTGAGTTGCTTAGCACCTCACTAAATTGCTGAGGCTGGCTTTGAACTCGTTATCCTCTTGCCTCTGCCTCCCGAGCCAATTCGATTACAGGAGTGCGCCACTGTGCCTGGCCCTGATGACAGAATTATTTTTTCTCACTACTTCAACATTTAAATATTTATAATGTGTATGTAAATATTTATTACACAAATGGAAATAGTCAACTACATTTATATTATATAACAAGTTCATTCTTTAAGTTTTGTGTTCTAAGGATAAAGGTCTTTTAAAATCAAACACTGACCTTTAATTATCACTCTTTTGACAAGATTTAAAGATATTTTAATGCAGGTATTTCAGGAAAAGCCTATAATAAATTTCACAGAATCTCTGTTATGTTTTTCTTGATATGAATTTCATTTCATTAATATTGCATTTCATTGTCATTTGACTCTATAAAAACTACCTTACTCTTTGTGTGTGTGTGTGTGTGTGTGTGTGTGTGTGTGTGGCGCTAGGGATCTGTCCAGGCCTTGAGCATGCTAGGCAAGTGTTCTACCACTGAGTTACACCCCAAACCAATGACCTTACTTAGTTTTGGTTACAAAAGTCATATGTCCATTATGTAATTTTTAAGATGCAGATATATATAATTTTAAGATGAAAAAAAATCAGGTTATTGTTGTTAATATATTAGTGCGTTTCTCTTTAATTCACACATTTATTTACTTATTTTTAACATTGAGTCTATATTAAATATGTTGTTTTGCAACCTTCTTTTTAATTTAACAATATATTGTGAACATTTTCCATATTATTAAATTAAAAATAAGTGTTATGTGGTTATTAAGCACTGAATTTTTATCATTTGCAAGAATATGGTTTTAATCATCATATTCATAATTTGCTGATAAAAAAATAGCTTTTATCTATAAAAAGAACAAGAGATTGGTTGAGTAGCTTTAGAATGGGGTTCAGATTCTGTAGTGCCCAGTGTTTATTTTAATCTTACTTTTAAAAAGTGATACAGCTTTGGGGCCGGGGTTGTGACTCTGTGGTAGAGCACTCGCCTAGCATGCGTGAGGCACTGGGTTTGCTCCCAGCACCACATAAAAATAAAAAACAAAATAAAATAAAGGTATTTTTGTCCATCTACAACTAAAATATATTTTTAAAATGTGACATAGCTTCAAAATGCCTCAGTTTTCCATGATAAAACAGGGGAGCTCATTTGATTTGCTCTTTATAGAGAAGCCAAAGGACTAGCTGTAGTCTTATGTCATGCTGCTGAGCACCAACAGGAGCACAGGGAATAAACTAACTGACAAAAGTATTTTCCAATAGAAATCACTTAACTAGGGAAAAATAAATTTAAAGTGCAATAGCATATTCTTCTGGGTCTCTTGTTGTAATATTTCTTGTGCAGCTAATTTATTATTTTATCTGTTTGTTTTCAGGAATTACAAATATACGCTGCTCTGGCCACCTCTGGGTAGAGCCAGCCACGGTTGTTAAGATGGGTGTAAATATCTCTATATATTGCCAAGCAGCCATTAAGAACTGCCAACCAAGGAGACTTAATTTTTATAAAAATGGCATAAAAGAAAGATTTCAAATCACAAGGATTAATAACACAAGAGCTCGGCTTTGGTACAAAAACTTTCTGGACCCACATGCATCTATATACTGCACTGCTGAATGTCCTGGACGTGTTCAAGAGACACTGATATGTGGAGAAGATGTTTTTTCTGGGTGTAAGTTTTGGGGCACATTCACAAAACAAACCCAAATTAGTCTAATAATGCACTGGTAATTGCTAGGCTTATCTGAAAACAGGCAAATTGACATAGTTCATCTCTTAGTTGGGCTTAATACAGGAACTTCTAATGCAAACATCTCCAGGGTCAGGTTAGTGAACTGTAAGTTAAGGATGCTGGTGGGATCTGTGCGGAGAAGACGGCCTGTGGACTGGGTACAACCCTTGCTCAGATCCAGCCTTCATAGGGGTCCAGTATGCCCAGATCTTTTGACTCTCCAAAGGAAGGCAAAAATATGAATGTTTAATACAAACTCTCCAAATTTTAAAATATTGAGAAAGCATTCAAAACACAATGATTTTCACCTCCAGCCTGGCCAGACAGGGCATATGTGAAAGTTAGTGCCTCAGATTTAAAATGTTGCCCGTTTCTTTTTCTCACTTATGCTTTTCATTCATTTCCAAACTAACATCATTACCCTTGAAGAAGATATCATTCAGATATTTTAAGAAGATATCATTCAGATATTCTGAGACCAAGATTCACAAACTAGTTTTGTGTTATCATCATATTCCTTACTATCTGTGTAACGTTGGGCAATTTGCTTAACCATATGAACTTAAGTTGCTTGTCTGTAAAATGAAGCTAATTTTACTAGCTGGGTTAATTACTAAATTTCAATAATTTACTTAAATGCATATTATAAAATTTACAGTAAACACCAGTGCCTAAATCCTTAAAAATGTGTCTTGGGGTGGGGGATACTAGAAATTGAACTCAGGGGCACTCACCCACTGAGCCACATCCCCAGCCCTATTTTGAAATTTTTTTTAATATTTATTTTTTACTTGTAGTTGGACACAATACCTTTATTTATCTATTTATTTTATGTGGTGCTGAGGATCGAACCTAGGGCCTTGCATGTGCTAGGTGAACGCTCTACCACTGAGCCCACAATCCCAGCCCCCTATTTTGTATTTTATTTAGAGACAGGGTCTCAGTAAGTCGGTTAGTGCCTCGCAGTTGCTGAGGCTGGCTTTGAACTCGAGATACTTCTGCCTCTGCCTCCTGAGCAGCTGGGATTATACCACCATGCCCAGCAAAAATATGTCTTTTTTGACAAAATGTAGGTAGAAGCTCATACAACCCCCTGCTTCTAATCCCATTACCCCTATCGTGAATCACTGTTTGTTGCTGTAATTACTAAGAAAAAATTTAGTCAAGTTAATCTGAAAAATATATGCCAATTTAAGTTGTGTTCATAGTATTCTAAAAGTTTTGAAGTTACTGCAGTAAGATGAGCTGACTTATATAATTATATAATACTTTGTTCTTGGTTCTACTATTATGAAGGATACATCAGATCAGCAGTGTTTTAATCCAGACGTTCTCTATAGAGAATGTTGCCCATTGTCAGTGAAAGATAAGGGCTTTGGGGGTTTTACCATGTTCCTATCCTCCATGCTTTTGAGAATCAGATCTGAGTTCTTGCTTCCTCCTACCCTCTGCTCGCTCCTCAGCTAACAAGATCCAGACCAGTGGCCTCCACGTGAGGTCATTGCAGAGTACCAATATGGCCTCCACTGCAGCTGCCCGAAAAGCAGGAGGTTTCTTCATTCTGTAATGAGGCCATTGAGCTGCTTAACTCTGGGCAGCGATCTTGCCTGCTTCTCAAATGAGAACTATGGGAAAACATGCAGAAGAATTGAGGAAGGGAAGTTTTGGAATCAAATAATGAAGATGGTAAATATATGCCTTAAACTAATGCCTCGCACGTGTGAAGTTTGCCCTAAATTGTGGAAATTAAACCACAGGCAGATACTTTATCTGAGGTATGAAATCTCTTTAGCTTGTCCACATCCTCAGGAAACATAATCAACCCTCAATGCTTCAATACTTCACTATCTATCCTTTGCGGGGCAGGTGTACGAGGTGTACAATTTCTTCAGAGGACAAGAAAGCAACTTCCACAGTATGGGAAAGAGTTGGTTGTTAGTTCAGGCTAGAGGGGGAAAAATGGATGTAAACAAGTGTCACCTCTGTTAAAAGACAAAATTTCAACAAATACAGTTTTTTTTAGATCTAATTGGCTTTTGTGATTCATGAAACGGAGCAGGAGCTCATTCTATAAAATAGAAAGGTGCTCCACTGGGTGTGACAAAACAATTGATTTTTTATAAAGTGGGAACAAGAAAGCAGAACAAAAAAGGCACGGGGTTGGTTACTATCATATTACTTCAGATTACTTTCCTCATAAAGGTTAAAGTGCAGGGAACTTCCTGTCCTGCTTGATCAGGTTGACTGGGCCTTTTCAGATTGGTTACTGTGAGTCTTCTGTTTTCAGGAAAAAAACTGATCGCTAGGGGGTTGGCCTGATGCCTTAAAGTTTCAGTTGGATTGTGTGGCACTTAGCACAAGGTCACTCCATTTTGGTTTGGTTTGCTGAGGCTTTGTGTGGGAGCTTAATCCAAAACAAGGGCCTCTTACAAATTTTATTTAGCACCCCCATTCCTGTGTGGGCAGTTTGTGTGACACATTCTCTTAATTGCCCCACGAGTCTTGGCTAAGGGGCCTCTGCCCCAAACCCTGGGCACTGTTTCAGGTCAGAGAAGGCCTCCCTTCCCGATGACCTGTTTCTACACTTTCATTCTCTGCTGATGGCTCTTTAGAGAGAGGACATCACTCTTTCCATTCATTTCACTGGGGGGTTATAGCTCCTTACATAGATCTCTGGTTATGAGCACGAAAGCACAACTACCAGGTAAGAATTTACAAAAGGCCCCGGATTTAAGCTGAATGTGCTCTTAGGCTCTGCATTCTTAGCAAACAAAACTTCCTATTTAAGTAGGTCAGAATAAGGCTTTTGAGGGTTTTGTGGCATTCTAGAAATCACGTTGCTTTCACTAAACTATTTGAACACAGGATATTCGTCCTGGGAGCTTTACTATGTCAATTTATCATTACTGTTTTGAACAAAATGATATAATGCACCTTTTTTGAATGAAGACAAACCATAAAAGATAGAAGACAAGTGAGTCATTGCTTTCCTTGAAAGGACATCCACATATATTTAAAAGTTTCTCTAGTGTATAATTTGTGAAATACAAACTATCACAATTTCCATCATAAGCCATGATCTTAAACACTTAGATTCTTATCTGTGATGAAATGCACACATATTATGGAAACTTTGTTCTAACAGAGCCACACCAATCATAGGATTAAAAAGTTAATGAGATGTCTTTTCATTTAAAAATACCAAACCATATACAGTCGTCTCCACTTAATCATTTATTTAAAATTTTAGGCATCTTTGACTGAGATTGTCACTTTTACTTCTTGTTATGGACAAAGAAAGCTCATTTTTACCCAATAAAAAACCTGGAATATTCATGTTTAACATTACTATTAGGTATGAATCATTACTGCACATCAGGCCTGGCCTGTGCCCTCCTTGAATAAGGAATTGCAGGGTACTTTTCTTTTTCTTTTTCTTTTTTTAGCTGTGCTGGGCATGGAACCCAGGGACCTCTGCATGTTAGGCAAGTGCTCTGTCACCCCCAGACCTCTTCATTTTAATGGCTTTCATTGACATTTTATTAATCAAGTCATACACTTCATAGAATAAACTTCACTGCGTGCTTTCTATGCTTTAAAATGTGCTCAATGCTAGAAATGCAAAGAGGGAAATCAGAGACCCTGCTTTCAAAAAGAAAGGATCTTTGGCTAGGCTCTGAATGAATAAGAATTCTGGTTGGTGATCAGTGACTGTCCAGATAATAGAGAACAGGTGGGATTAATTGGAAAGAGCATTTAGGCCATCTCCTTGTATATTTCAGGATATTCTCTAGAATCTGGTTGAACAGCAGATCTGTATTCTTGGTTATTGAATAACCTGGCAATAAGATTTAGCAATCAGCAGATGTGACTCTCATAACCATACTCACAGGCTGTCTGTATGTCGTTTCATATTATCAAAAGCTGTGCTTATTTTTATATGTGTAGAGTTGTCTTTTGCAAAGTTAATTAACCACTGGGCATTTATAATCCTGAGCATTCTCTTCATATAGAATGCTGGGGAGACACATAGTCCACAAAATTGACATTTGTCTTTTGTGATTGCCCAATCAATGACATTCTGTATCTGAAAGCAGAGGAAATTATTGTAATCAACAAGGAATCACACTGCAAGCAATGTTAAGAATAAGTTATGTTTCCATACTTACTTCCTTTAAAGCTCAAAAAGAATGGAAAGATTTAGTTACCCTACTTGGAACCCAATTTCTCCTCACTGTAATTCAATGTTACAACTCACCTGAATGTTTTGAAGTACTTTGGTATGCTCCTAACAGTTTTTTAAAACTGTAACATCAATTGCATTCATATAGAAAGTTAAAAAAATTTAGACTAGCAAAAACAGAAATACTGATCATCTCCATAATCCCATAATTTTACCAATAACATAATCTCTCTTTAATGATTTGGAACATGTTTTTTGAGTTTCAGTCTTTTTCTCTTTCAAATGAAATCACTATACTGAACTATTTTGCAACATGCTTTCTTACTTTATCATATGGTGTGTAACACAGAAGTTGAATTTCAGGTGGGTTCTTTGTCTTGTGAATTTGAAGAATGAAATCCACGGACACAAGGGTGAGAGCAAAGTACAGGATGTATTAGAGTAAGAGAAAGCAGAGCTCCTGAAAAGGGAGGGGTGCCCATGGTGTCTGTTATCTGTTTTTATGGGCTTGATCTGTCCCTGTAGGTGATCGGTGGGACATAGGATTTTGGACAGAGGGGCCAATCAACTCTTTTTCTATTTTGTCTTCTTCAGCAAATTTGGAGAAAAGTGATTTCTAAGCTTTAATCAGCACAAGTGTGGGGGTGGGGTCTGTTGGAGCAAGAGGAAGTACTTTTGGAGGTAGGTAATGTCTAGAGCTGTTAAGAAACTGTCCTCGTGGCTAGGAATAACTGGGGTAAGAAGCTTAATTTCTCAATTCTCTCTTCCTCCTTTTCTTCTCTTAGACCCTTTTTCTGACTGATTATGGGTTGCCTATCTTTCTGTTTCAATCACTTAATCAATATATTTCTAATGTCTCCCAAAGGTTCAATCCTTAAATTGTCATTTACATCATTATTTTTGGATGTATTTTTAGGAGTATACTATAGCTTATTTAACCCTGTGTTGGAGTATTAAGGTAGTTTCCAATACTTTAGGGGCATTTTTTTTAACCAAATGTTTTTATATATCGGTGAATAATTCATTAAAAGTGCATTCCCTAGATATTATTTCCACTTTTAAAGATTGTGATATGTGAAGTGCCCTCCATAAAGATTGTACCAATTTGTACTCTCACTAGAAGAGCATTAGAAGATTTCCCTGAGTCCATCCCAACACTGTGTATTTACATATTTCAAAATCCTTGCCAGTTGGATAGATCTAAAAGATATCTATTAGTGTTTTGATTTGCAATGAGGATAGAATTTATATATTTTTATTACCTTATAAGTAACATTCTTGGTAGTTGGCTTGCAGGTAAAATGAAAGAGTACATTTGTATTTAAATCTTTGGATATAACTTCAAGTGTATATGTCTCTATCTTTATTTTTTATGATTCCCTCAATCTTCCATTTGTCTTGTGCTCTCTGGGTAATCGTATACCCCCAGGCGGTATTTCCCATGTAGCCACAAACTGAAAGCCATACTTGAAAAGTGGGTATATGATTAGCACTCAATATTTCCATACTTTTTTTTAAAAAACTTGATCTTGGTTACTTATTATTGGATGATATAACTGAAAATTCCAAATGCCATTCTGTAGTTGTTGGAAATTTATAGGCTTCAGTGGGCTGAAGGGCTGAAAAGGTGTCATCAGAACTGGCGTTTTTTCTCACCCCTTGGGTTTAGTTTTTCCCTTGTTGCTTCATTCTTAAGCAGACTTAAGGCAGCTAAAGGACTGTCCACTAAGACAAGATGGCCACCAGCAGCTCAGCTCACCTGCTACTCACACAGCAATTTTAAGGCCACTGGGAGGAAAGCTGGATAGAGGTGAATGTAAGGGGAATGGAGAGTGTGAGGGAGAGAGAGGTGGGAGGGGGTGAGATCTGTGAATACTGAACTATTTAAAAACTCTTTTTGATGTGGTCTTGGTGGCAAAATTCACATAGCATAAATGTACATTTTTAGCATGTTTAAGCACCTCTTTTATAATGGCTTAAAAAAAAAAAAAGGCCCTTGGAGAATTCTGATTGATCCCTAGAGTCATGTGCTCATTTCCAAGGGCATTCTCATATTAGCCAGCCTAGGTCAAGGTTTTGAGACATGAAATACATTCACATTGTTTTGCAACCATTACCCCACTCTCTTCAGAACCCTCTTCTTGCAAACTGAAACTCTTCCTCCATTATACAGTAGCTCCCCGTTCTCCCTACCCCAGCCCCTGGACACCTCCATTCTGCTTCTTGTTTCTAATAGTTTGCTCTTCTAGATCTCTCATGTAAGTGGAATCATAAGGCAATTCTTCATTTCTTTTTATTTTATTAGTGTTATGTCTTCAAGTTTCATCCATGTTGTATCATGTGTTGAAATTTTCTTCCTCTTATAGCTCAGTAGTATGCCATGATATGAACACTGAACTTTTAAAGCAAGTGGGGGAATATGTCCCAGAGGAGGAGATAATCTGCTTAAGTAGCAGGAAAAAAAAATTGCAAAGAACCCTTCCACAAGAGCCTAAGAACAGAGGTTTCAAGGAGGGAATGACCACAATGTCAAGGGCTGCATAGGTCAAGTTCAATAACAACTGACAAGAGAGAATGGAATTTGGGGAATAGAGTCATTATTGACCTTGGCAACAGTGATTTTAATAGAATTGTGTGAGCTGAGTCCTGATTATTTGGGGCTCAAGAGTAAATGGGAGATGAAGAATAATGGGCTGTTTTCAGATGTTTTGCTGTGAAGAGGAGGAGACAGATATAGTGGTAACTGAAGGAATATAGAATTTGGGAGAAGACTTTTTTTAGTGGACAAGGATTGGGGTGAACTTGACCTTGTTGGTATTGCCAAAGGAGCGGGGAACATAGTACAGGAAGAAGAGAAGCAATGTTTGATGGCGGAGTGGATTGCAAGGTGAGGTGGATGAAATGAGGAGCAGAGAGGAGCTCAGTGCTGGCTGGCCCAGTTTCCAAAATAAAACAGACAGTTCATCAGCTAACTACTTTGCAAAGAACTTTATGTTTCTTGTGGATGCTCCTAAGTGATACATTTTGTTGCAGATCCACCAGATGCTCCCAAGGAGGTCACCTGTGTCATTTATGAATATTCAGGCAACATGACTTGTACATGGAATACTGGGAAGCTCACCTACATAGACACCAAATACGTGGTGTACTTGAAGAGGTAGGTTCCTTCTGAGGGGGTTCACATGTGCAGTTCCACTCCATTCAACCTGCGTTCTGCCTGCAGCAGAGATTCAAGAAATCAACTTCAAACATTAAACATATGCTCTGATTATCCCCATCTTCCTAATTATGATCAAAGAAACTAACAACACCTGTCCTGAGCCATTCATATTTTAATATTTCTGTGGGGCAGTGTGTTCTATGACTTTTCTATCCTTTTTATTCATTGGTAGATAACTGGTAGATAGCACCTAATGGTATAGCTCAGTACAGCTTTAAATTGGCTTCAATCCTAGCCCCATTCTCCTTTTAGGATTAGGACAATTTACTCAGTTCTCAAATTTGCTGATTTTTTTTTTCTTTTTTTTTTTTTTGGTACTGGGACTTAAACCCCGGGACACTCAACCACTGACTTCAGCCCTATTTTGTATTTTATTTAGAGACAGGTCTCACTGAGTTGCTTAGGGCCTCACTAAGTTGCTAAGGCTGGCTTTGAACTCATAATCCTCCTGCCTCAGCCTCTGAGCTGCTGGAATTACAGGTATGCATCCCTGCACCCAGTACTGATTCTTCAACATGGGATTCAAGTAGAACCTAATGCGTGAGTTTGTTCTAATTATATAAATGGCATTTGGCTTTTAAAGTATGTACACGAGGCCATGTTCATAGTTGGCACTAGATTCACAGATGTTTTTGTCCCCACGACAAAAACTGGGCCAACTAGTACTGAGACACTACCCAGGGGAATTCCAAAGAGTTCCCCCCCAAAGAAAGGGAATGTCAACTCAGCCCCTGCAGGTTCTTGATACACATTGCAGAAGGAAATTTCAGGACATAGAGACACAAATTTTCAGGAAAAGAGGCACAAGCAGAGATTTGTTCAGGGAAACAAGCAATAGAGCAGGATGCGTGCTCAAGGGGAGAGGGACTACGGGCACTTGGGGTTCCGATGTGCTTTTGTGGTCTCAGGCTTCCTTTTTTAGAGGAAACTTTGTAAATGGTAAGCATGCGTAGTACTGGGGTGGAGTCAGCTTAATGGGCTTGACTCTCTAGATCATGGAGCACAGAGCTGGGTATGGTGGTCTGTTTCTTCTCAGAATCTTTAGGTTGACATGATTTAGTTAAGAGCGCTTGGACGTACCCTTATCATGGGTTTTTAACAGCATCTTTCTCTAGGCTTCTTTTAGTCTAAAAATATATCTTGCAAGCTAACAAGACACATTAGCACTAATTAACTGGACTTAGAATACTCTAAGATTTATTGGACTTTTTAAGTATTCTGGCCTGGAGGAAAAACAGGCCTGGGAGTGAAGGTGAGGACCTTTGTAGAGTTTTTAGATTTAAACGACAGTCTCTCGTTCCTTCTCTGTTTGTCTCTGTTCTACCTATCCTTATATCTTCTATCCTACCTCAGTAGTAACCCCCAAATATGAATTTAGTGTCAGTGTAGGCCAATCAGTTTTTCTTAGGGGTGTCCAGAGCATAGGACTTTCAGTTTTAAAACTTGGAAAGTTGTGGGCAAACTGGGGAGAAGTTGGTAACCTTAACCATGTTTCTTGTTTTATTTATTTATTTTTAAAGAAGCAATGCCTTCTGTAGTGAATTCAAAGTATTAGTAATCCTCAACTTTTCATGAGCTACTTATTTTTTAAAGGACTTACTGGACCCTTACTGTGTGCCAAGCACTGGGGCCAGGAGCTTTATATCCATGACCTCATTTAATCCCCTATACAACTTTGTGAGGTACATACAATTATTTTTCCCACTTTTATAGACAAGGTACTGAGACTTAGAGAAGTTAGGTGATATGTCCAGACCCAGGCAGCCACAGAGAGGGGCAAATGGGAATTGAAACTGGGCCACCTGATGGCCTCCTTCCTGTCTTAGCGTGTTTCTGCTCAAAGGATGTGGGAGACCATATCAAGGACATATTTTAGAGATGCTACCAGGTCTCACCATTAGAGAAGAGAATAACCTTGTAATCTTATTCTCTCTCTGTGTGTATGTCTCTCTCCTGATAGGTACTCAGAATAATTTTAACTAAATGAAAAATAAAAAGGAACACCTCTTCAAGAAATTCTGGGTAAAACCTGGATAGATTGTATAAATACATTACTAAGCCTGGGATTACCAACTGTTTGCCATGGGCAGGAAGCTCCTGCTTTTTATTCTGAGCGGGGGGGCTAAACAGGATGGTCAGATGTCAAAGAAACCATGAAACCCTGAGATCAGAAGTAGACAGAGTGATGGATAACATACAATGTGCTAAGTACTATACTCCATGTTTGTGTCTTCAATTCTCAGCTCTGCCTTGTGCGGAAACTCTTGTTCTCATTTTTTAAGTAGTTTGGAGAGTAGACATTGCCCCTCCAAAGTCATTTGGCTAAGAAGTAGGGGAGCTGGAATTCTAACAGGTGTCTTTCTGGCTCTACAGTCTGATACTTAACCTGTATCTTGCTTTAATGCAAAGCAATCGCTCTGAGATGCAAAGAGGTCAGGAGGACAAGAAAACTAGAGTCTCATTACCAAGTTAATTTTAGAAATGTGAAAATGAGAGGTGTCTGAGGGCAAACCCCATACTTTAAGCTCACAGAAAAGCTAGGTAATAGCAGATTAACAGAGAAAGCTTGGTAACTTGAGGACTTTTACTGTTTTCTGGAAACCGGATGTATCTCACTTGCCTCAGTCTGACCCTCAACACTCACGGACTTCCTGATCTTCTTGTTCTTCCTTCCTTCCATTTTGCTCTCTTTCTCTATCTTCTATCTTATATAAGATATAATATAAGATATAATAATAAGATATAATATATTAAGTATAATTCACCTACCACACAATCCACCTTATTTTAAGTATACTATTTAATGATTTTTGTTATATCACAATGCAAAGAAAAGACCATGGACTCCAATTTTAAATCAAATTAAAGCAAGCTTGTAATTCTGGCCGGGACTATCTCTCCCGAAATCCTTGGGTTAGAGAACATTACCCCAGTTCTCTAGGAGCATGGTTTTATAGCACAAAAAGTTACAAAAGGGGGGTGCCTTGAGAACTTACAGATAACAGGATTTTGAAAAGTATAATACAAAGGCAGATAGTAGGTTAATGATCTAAATGGTTCAGCATTTCAAGGTAGAGAGTAAATTTAGATCCCCAAACCGGAATTTCTGAGGTGCTTCTAAGGTTTCAGAGAGGGTTGTTATCTGGTTAGGGAAAGCCAGGCATGGGTGAGTTCAAGGCATGGGCAGGTATTCCAAGCGAGTTTAGAAATTGCAGTAATTTATAGTAAAATAGTAACTTTTCATGACTTTGTGACAAGATGGCTCCCAATCTTAAGATGGAATTAGGCTGGGTTCATCAACTTTAGCAAATTCCTAGAGTTGTGCAACTGTCACCACAATTGATTTTAGAACATTTTCATCATGCCAAAAAGAAACCCCATGCCCATTAGCAGTCACTTCTTATTTCTCCACAACCCTCCCAGCACCTGGCAACTACTATTTTGTTTTGTTTTGTTTGTTTCTGTGGATTTGTCTACTCTGGATACTTCATGTGAAAGGAATCCTACAGTAGATGGTCTTTAGTGACTGGCTTCTTCACTTATCACAGTGTTTTCAAGGTTCATCCATGAGCAGCACGTGTCAGTACTTCAATCCTTTTACAGCTGAATAATGTTCCATTCTAGAGTTTTGTCACATTATGTTTATCCATTCATTAGTTGATGAGCATTGGATTATTTCCACATTCTGGCTACGTGAATAACATTCTATTAACATTTATACAAACGTATGTTTTCATTTCTCTTGGGCATATACTGAGGCATACAATTTCTGTGCGTATATATTAACTGTTAGGGGAACTTCCAGAATGTTTTCTAAAGGAGCTGCAATATTTTACCTCCCCACTAACAATGTATGGGGGGGAGTGTGTTCCAAAATCTCCATGCCTTTGCCAATGCTTGTTATTGTCTTATTGGTTATTGTCATCCTATTAGGTACAGGTTATGGGTTAGTCAACTTTTTGTCACCGTGACCAAAATGCCTGTCAAGAACAGCTTAGGGGGCTGAGGCTGTAGCTCAGTGGCAGAGCACTTGCCTCTCATGGGTGAGGCACTGAGTTCGATCCTCAGCACCACATAAAAATGAACAAAATAAAAGCATGCTGTCTTATCTACAACTACAAAAAAAAAAAATGCTTAGAGGATGAAAGGTTTATTTTAGGCTCATCCTCTCAAAGGTTTCAGTCGAAGGTAGGCCAACTCTGGACCCCATGGCAGAAGGACCTGGCTGGGAATAGCTTTTCAGCTCATGGAGGCCGGGAAAGGAGGAGCCAGAGGAACAAGATATAATCCCCAAGGGCACAGTCCCAGAAATCTACTTCCTTTTGCCACACCCCACCTGCTTACAGTTACCACCCAGTATTGTAGTCCTTTCAAATTATTAATTTATCAAATGGATAAATCACTGATTAGATCAGAGCTCCTATAATTTAATCATTTCACCTCTGAACATTATTAACAAAGGAGATTTTTGGGGAGACACCTCATATCCAAACCATAACAGGCTAATATTTTGGCAAACCCCACTCACCTGCCTTCTCCAGTTCCTGACAGTAGAATTGCATTGTAAATTTGTGAGAGACATATCACAACTTGAGAAAATATATTCATTAGACAAAATTTAAAACTTGTTAATCACCACCTAATTTATTGAAATAGTCTCTGAGTGTTTTATGACTATTAATTATGTATTTCTTTGAGATCCTTTAATGCTTCAAAATTATATGTGTTTAAATTATTTGCCCATGGCTTTTGAAGGACACATCTATTTTATAAAGAATACCTGTAGTAGTTATGAGTACTGAGGCTGTTTCAGACTCAAAAAGTCACTCAAAAAGTGTATGAAGTATAGATTTATAAAAGAGAATGTGTTAAAAAAATAACCATGGGAAAGAGCACCAGTTAGAGTTTTATATTTTATTTCTAGTTTAGGTATCTTT